AATATTATTTTTCAATTCAAAAAAAAAGAAAAAATAATTAAATTCTGATACTTCAATATTTATGTTATGATAATTATTTACTAAGGTTAGTAAAACGAGTCTATAGTGTTAAGCGAAGAAAAATCGCTGTTAACCGCATTATAATTTCATTGAATTATCTCTAGAGCAATAAAAAGGATATTAGCTTTTTTTCTGCTTAAGTATTTAATCGTCATCATTCGGGTACCGCCTAATATAATTCCATGCAGTCTAAATTCGTATTTTATCAAAAATTAATGGTTTTATTTTAATTGTTATTGTTATAAATAAATTGTATACGATCGTGTTTTTTTTTGCGATTATACTAAAAGCACTTTGTCTATACTGCTATATAGGACAGAGAATTATTTATAAACACATTGATGACACGAAATATTAGTTTTACAAAAAAAAAAAACTAATAATTTATCATTTTTTATTGGTTGAAACCTAGGAGGAAGTGGCGGAAAACGTGGAAGACACAGAAAATGTCTTCCGCCTGAAAAAAAACAGAGCTGTACAATAAAACATTAGATCCGGTCAACCATTAAGATTGAACAGATTTCGAATAATGAACCTTATGATGATGATATTAAACACGACTTTATTCGCCACGACTCAGAAGTGTACGAGAATCATAACGTGAGACGAAAGTGGAATAACAAAGTGGAATTGTTACTACTTTCTTTTCTCAGCATTATTCGGATTTTCAATTCCTATCGATAGCGCTGGACCCCGAATTCTGTACTGCTTCGCATCATCATCGTTACGAAATTGGTTGACGTACTCTTCCGGATTTGCCGATAAAGTACACACCCGTAGATTACATACTGAACGTTTATAACACAAGTGCGGACTTGAATCCGGTGGACGGATGGCGGAAATTGTTCACCGCGACACCGCATGTGCATGCAACAAACCCAGTAGATGGTATATTACATTTTCGTTAATCATTAAGTCCAATCTAGATCGAAATAACTACAGTTAGTTGGTCCGAAAGCGAATCGCGAATAGAAGTATGTTCAGTCGGTGTTCGATGCAAACGGGAATAAACTCATTTAAAAAAACGCAAAATAATCTTCTTTAAACAATATCTTTACCTCGAAATAAACTGTGGGTGCTAATTTAGAACTTGGGGTTGTTAAGCACCTCTGGAATCTCCGTAAGCTAATTGAATCGCGTAAGTGCTGGATATCTGCACGGGCCAGTTTTTTTTTCGGTCCTAACCGACCCGAAACTTAACCTTACAAAATGCTTCCATTTTTTTTTTAAGTCCAACCCGACCAGATCCGTTTATAATATTTATTTTTTTGTTTTTATCAGTGATCTATCTATAAATATCATATAGACGATTAATACATACGTATTTTATTGTGATTTGTAACAAGCCTACACACTATCAGTTAGGGAATATTTCCTAATCCAACGCCAATAATTAGCATTAGTATTGTACTCTTATATTAAAATACGAATAAAGTTATTTTTATCGTTATTTAATATCAGTGAGCGAGTAGTGAGGTATAAAAAAAAAATTATTGATTTTTATAATTTAGTTAAGTTTTTTAAATACCGATCACACTGGGTTAAATGCAATTAAACTAGGTAGTTTTGTTTTCGACCGGTCCAAAGAAAAATACTACGATACCACCCATAACCGACCCGCAATATTTATATAACGGCCCGGCCCGGTCCAAGCCTGTTACTGTCCATGCAGATCTCTAGTACGTGCACACTTGTATATACTGCATGAATGGTATCTGAGATCTGTAACATATTACCTAATATGATTGCCTATAAAAAAAAATTTAGATAAATAGCAATGTTAATGTCAAACAAATAATGAACGCTTAATTGTGCGCAATTGCATTATGTATATTTTTCATCCCATTATTTCAAAAGATTTTTGTTTAAAATGAATAACTCATATCTTCCGACTGCACAAAAGTCATCATACAAAATAAGCATTTAATGTTTTTACCCGCATTCTTTTGGTTTACTAAAAACACCCCTAAGCTCCAGGTGCCCATGGGCCCTTGCGTAGCCCAATACGGCCTTGGTATGGACGACGGGGTCGCGAAACTGTCGCCGATCACGATTTGGACGTAAATTAATTCGAACGAAAACACAGTCAGTCGCACCGCAGCGCGGACGATACGTACACGTCGCCGTCATAGTTCTCGTGCGCATTCCGAGTTATCGTTTTTCCGGTCTGTCCGGGCACGAGGAGTCGAGATCGAATCTCGTCCTGGCCACGACCGAAGTGGTCAAGGGTTATGTATACTAACGCGTTTAATACGCGCGCATACATTACACCCAGAAACACGTACCGGGTCCGCACAGAATAACCCGTACCGTTACCACTCCCCCGGGACACAACAATTATTATATTGTTACTATTATTATTATCGTAATAATTTTTTTATTATTACTGAAGATCGTGTTGTAGCGTTACGTTTCGATACCGAGGAGCCCGCCGGCCGAGCGCCACGGTTTTCACGCGATCCGTCCGACGAAACCCCGCGTTTTAGACGCGCCCCGTGGATTTGGATAATGCGTCGTTCGGCATCTCACCGTTGGAAAACTCGATCGAGTTGACGGGCGAACGATAATTTCACGGTTGAACCGTTCGCGTCCGAGCGCTTCGGCGGACGGGAAAGATATTCTCTCGAAATCCTTCGTCGTCAACGTACAGGCAGGTCCGACAAGCGGCTTTAATGATAATGAACTATACACAAACGAACGACATGTTTAACTGTAGTAAATCTTTTTCCTTTATTGATATTAATAGTATAATATTGAACTTACAATAAAACGAATAAGTACAAAAATATCAATGTAATGTGTACAAATAAAAATCGATACTTGATATTTATTAATACATACCTAACCTCCTAATAACATGCTGTAGTATATCAACTTACAAATAATTATTATTATATGATAAGAACTTTTTTTTTTTAATATTAACAACATTATAGGCACTGCACAGTTGGAGGAATACGAATTCCAGCTGGCCAAGAACAGAAAATTGAACAATCGTTTTAATTTTTAATTTTTACAAATTTTTATACACAGATGCTTGGTGATAATAAATATAGCACCATCGATAACATTTATTAGGTTTCCGGCGTATCGCGGTGATAAGCGCGGTTTAATGTTTTTAGATTATTGAACTCTATACAAGTATATCATTTACGTTCGTACGTTGCAACGTGTTTTAAGCATTTGTCAACAACTGAGAAAAATAATTTTTAAGAATTATTATAATGGACGATCCCGTGTTGACTTTAGATGGTAAGATTTCCATTTTCATTTATTATTTTAATTAAAATAATTCATTAATTAGATCTTAAATAATTAGTTATTAACGTATTAATTTTACCTTTAATAAAGCAACAAATATTTTTACAGCCTTCTAGAGGTTTGATTTTCTTTTTTCTACAAACCTTAATATATGTACTTTAATATGATATACTAATTATAACCCTCTCAACCCCCCCAACTGAATTATTCATGTTTTTTTTTTTTAGATAAAAGTAGCAATAAACACAATATATTAATAGTTGCTTATTTTAAGTATGTTTGAAAAATGAAATTAGTAGAAATTCTAGTAAAATGAAATTTATATTAATGGATTATTTAAAAAATAGACTTGGTAACATTTTGAATATTGATAATAACGATTTTGAAAAATGTATGTCGAACAAAATTGATGGATTTTGTTGTATTTTGAATAAAAAATGGAAAGAGTCGAACTATTGTATAACTAAGTTAAAAAAAAAAAAATGTTGGCTACAATTACATTTTAATATTCCTTCCAAAAAAAATGTGATATTTCTAACCAACCTTCGACAAGTACCGGTAGACAACCCAAAGTTTTTTCTGAGCTTAGTGACCGCTCTAATCGTAGGCACGTTAAAAATTTAAGGGAGACGATAACATCGGATGAATTAGTTTACGCTGTAAAATCTACATTATACGTTGAAGGAAAGCGTGCAGCAGCCCATATTATTCCACAAGTATTTGAGTTTTCATCTAAACGTGCAATAAAAATAAGGAAAATGTATACAAATACTAAGTCAAACCTGACTCAATACACAGAAGATGAGGCTATTGCATTTATGGATGATACTCGTATGACAAAAAATTCTTACCATTTAACCCGACTAGGTGCAAAAAAACATGGAGCTGATATATATCCTTCCTATGATAAAATTCGATTGGCTAAAGATAGGTACTATCCAAAAAATATTGCAATAAGTGTAGTAGGAGCGTCAGTTCCTCTCCAAGATTTATTAGACCATACATTATTAAGATTATGCGAAACACTTAATTTTGATGATAATACTAATTATGGAGAATTATATTCACAATTTGATTTTATATGTAAATGGAGATGCGATGGTAGCTCTGGCCACAGCGAGTATCATCAACAATTTAAAAAAAACAGAAACAGATGATTGTGATGTTGAAAGCGATATAAATCTAACAGATACTAGTATTTTTTTGTTTTCATTGGTTCCTCTGCGACTTGCAGCACATTGTAAGAGTATAAATGAAAAATCTATTTTATGGGAAAATACATACCCTTCTTCAACTCGATATTGCAGGCCAATAAAATTTCTCTATGAAAAAGAGACATCAGAGGTTATCCGAAATGAAGTTAAAAAAACAGAAAAAGAAATTATTGAATTAAAATCATTCGATTTAAATATTAATAATAATGTTATTAGTGTAAATTATACTATGCTTATGACAATGGTTGATGGTAAAATAATTAATACTCTAACTGAAACGTCAAGTCAGGTATGCTTTATTTGTAAATGTAACCCTAAAAACATAAATAACTTAAATAAAATTCATAATTTTCAAATTAATGAAAATAACTTTAAATATGGATTATCCACTTTACATGCGTGGATCAAATTTTTAGAATGTGTCTTACATATTTCATATAAATTAGAATCAGCCCCTACAACCAAAAGGACCACTACTGAGCAAAATAATGGTATTGCAGAAAAAAAAAAAGTTGGTACAATCTAGGCTTTGGAATGAATTAGGTTTGAAAGTCGATAAAGTTATTCAGGGAAGAGGTACTTCCAATACTGGAAATGTTGCTCGTAGGTTTTTTAAAAACACTGATAAGGTGTCTGAGATAACCGGAGTTGATATCAATTTGTTGAATAGATTTTCTGTCATTTTAACGACTATGTCTAGTGGTTTAGAAATAAACCACGAACGATTTGACAAGTACGCAAAAGAAACTGCTGAGCTATATGTCCAACTTTATAATTGGTATCGTATGCCTCCAACCATACACAAAATATTAATGCACGGCTCATTAATAATACAGTATGCCCTTGTTCCGATTGGCCAGTTATCGGAGGAAGCTCAAGAGGCACGAAACAAGGACTACATTCGATGTAGAAAACATCATTCAAGACATAATTCACGTTTAAATACCAATACAGATCTTTTCAATTTTCTTTTAGTAACATCTAATCCTAAAATAACCTCATTAAGAACCGAACCTAAAAAAAACTCCAACTAAATTACCTCCAGAAGTTATATACTTATTGAACATTGAAAAATCATGTGATGAATCCGAATCCAGCGGTAGTGAAAGTGATTCCAATTGATTTTAATATTTGTTAATAAAAAATAAAATTTAAAAATATCTTTTTTTTTTTAATTTCTAAACATAAGTAAATAAATAAATAAATAAAATTCACTAATTTACTGTAAATATATATATAAACTAATGTATTAACTATGAAAAACTATAATGTAAATGTAGTAAAATATATTAATGTACATTACTATGTAAAATTATTATATTGTATTCATTCTTATTTCGTTATTATTTGATACCTAATATTTTGTTTTTCCTGATATATTTATAAGTGTAAAGTAATAAATTCTGTTGTAATATAATTTATAATGTGTGTACTATATATTTATCAAAATTAATTTCATTGATTTTTTGATCATATTAATTTTGGCCAGCTAGAACATGTATTCCTCCCACTGTGCGCTGTTCGACATTTCTTTTACACGTCGCCAAAATCATGTACAATTACGGAAAACATAATTATTATTTCAGGCGGATTAAAAAACAAAAAATAAAAAATAAACATTTTTAAATATTATTTCAATACAATACAATCTATACGTGTGTGAAAGTGTTTGAATATATTTATATATAAATGGCAAACATTAAAAATGGACAAACCGCATTAATATAAATTTTATTATGGCACAGTAAAAAAAAAAAAAAGTTAACATAGATAATATGACCAGATCGACTCAACTTATACATCTAATATGGAAAGTCTATGCGTTTATGATCGACATAGATTTAAAAGAAAAGAAAAACGTAATCGTATTTCAAACAAAATTTTAAGCGTTTGAGTCTTATCTAAGTCCTATTGTTTTCTTTATGGGAACACATAAAACTTGGCATCCGATGTACGAATTCGGTAGTCTATAAATATTTGTACTAATAATTACCAATTATAAAAAAAAAAAATTATGTATTAAATCAAAAAAAAAAAAAAAAAAAAATACAATGGCTTGTGTAAAGCACATGAAAACGTAGTGAATAATATAGAATATACATTAAAAAAAAACAGTGTCCTCATAAAACTTCATTTATAACTTTCTTTAATATGCTTAACTATCTATTAAAACTTAAATTTATGTATATAATTTGTAGACATATGTTGTGTAGAAACACATGCCCGATACTACAAAACACAACATTTATATTTATGATATACTTTGAAAAAAAAAATAAATATAAATATATAATAAATGATTAAAATGAAAACATGATATTATAATCTATACTTAAGATTTCTTTTTTTATATCTTTTTTTATACTTGACTACTTCAGTTGGTAACAATTCTAAAATGTATTTCCACTTCCTAATAAACCAACAATATAGGAAAGGCTGCAGAAATAAATTGGGAGAAAATAATAGTTGAAATAGCCCGAACGGAAAAAAAAATCATACATAATAATATAATAATATACAATAAAATAAAAACAACTGCGTCGATAACAGTGCAAAAAAGTAGTGAATAAAATATTATTTTTTTTTTCAACTCGAGTAAATATAATATAAAACGTATAAGTATATAAATGTTCTGATAAAGTAATCGTGTACTAGTACTATATTTTGTATAATTTTTTTTACAACTATTATTACCAACAACTATATAACTCTTCAAAAAGTGTACTTATAATAATATTATATATATATTTTTTTTAATGTATTCATATGTGCGTATTGTATGTGTAGTACAAAAGTGTATATGTACCTCTATTAAATGTTGGTATAGTGCGTCTTACATTCTAAAATAATTATAACGCGGCCAAAACGTTATGTCCCCCCTCTAATTGGCTATTGCGTTTTCGACGCCGAGACGGAATTATGTATACGTAATACGTGCGGGCTCGAGACACATTCAGGACCTATATATATATATATATGATATTATACGTACACGAGTGCGAGCGTATGTGTATTATACACTAATATTTATTATTATTACAACTACTATACACTATACTACTGCTACTACGGTACTAGTACTTTATGGTGGGGGGTGAGAGAAAAATATAATAATAAAAATAAATCAACTTGGAACCCAGGTATGCAGCAACGTGCGCGTATTAAAAAAAAAAAACTCGTTTTTTCTTTTAATTTTTGTTTATTTTTTTTCTTTCGTGTGTGTCCCTCCTTGTCCGAGCCCGCGCCGCGATCCTGACCCGCGTCCCGGCGTTGAATGCATGCCATATGCACACATCGCGAAGCTAATCGAGGGGGGAAACAAATCTCGGGAGCCAATGGCTTCGCCGGATTTGAAGCCTATGGAAGACGTGATTCTATCGTTTTTTCTCGTAGATTTCTCTCCGACTTTTTAAGGAATGGGTGGAGAGGGGTCGTAATCAAGAAAACAACAGTGTATGTTCTATATATAAATATATATGTGGGTACTTAAAAATACTTGTTATAAAACTCTTAATGTTAACGAAAAATAAAGAAAAAAAATAGAATAAAATAATAAGTTAAATTATCTGGATATTGTACACAAAAAAGTATAATATATCAATCATACTACATCGATTTATTTTTTGTTTTAAATAAATATATAGTGATTTGTTTACGGGATCAAATAGAAAAAAAAAAAGCTATCCTTTTAAAACAGACTTATATCATTAGAAATTAAAAAAAAAAATTAATGCGAAAATATAGTGAAAATATATAAATAAATATAAACATTCGAAAATAAAAGAAATTAACAATTGTGTAATATACGTATGTATGTATATATATATATACATACATACATACATACATACATACATACATGTAGATGTATTTACGGAAAATCTCACTTCTAACTTGAGCTTTAAAAAATATTAAAAAAAATTAGACTTCCGATGCAAGAGATCTTCAAAAACAATGTTGCACCATCCTCGTGCTGAACTCCGAATCGGCAAGCCTATCTTACACTCTTAAAAATATGCGAGAAAATCTATATATATATATATACATATACATATATATATATATATATATATATATATTATATATTTATATATATAATATTATAATAACTAACTATTTTGATATTACTTAAAAGTTAATCAATTTTAGGAATCTGTTTGTTAGGTAGCCATACCGGAACTTTACTGTACATTTAATTCATTTATAAATCGGGTGTTGTGCGGAACGAATAAAATATTTAACAATGAACTGAAAATATATTTATACCATACACGCGCAATACGATTGATTCAGAAAATCTATATAGGAAATTTATTTTTAATTATTACTTTTAATTTCAATTACATTTTTATTCAATTAACGCTGGCTTTATAATGCGGTGTACTCCCAAACTCTAGCCAGCGCACGCCGTTTCAAAGTGACCGGAGTTGCTTGTGGATGATTATAATAATAATCTTATTATAATATTATATGTACGGAAACATGAAGCGTATTTTATTGCCTTCCCCGTCAAAAAGAAAATAATAAAAATAATAATCATAAAACCTAATTTTAAGGGCACTAATAATTATTATTATTATGTCATACGAGTCTAAATATCTAAACATATGTAATAATATATGCGAGTACCTTAAAAAATAAAAGTTTTTATGGAATATACGTGTCGATCGCGCGGCTTGTCGTCGATCGAATAATAAGTGGAACATACAGAGTAAAATAAAATTGAGTGAGTAATTTTCTTTTATGTTTTTTTTTTTTTTTTTTTTTTTTTTTTTTTTTTTTTTTAGTGTGTTTTGCAAGTCTAAACGACCATTTCAAATCCAACAGTCCGTGGTGTCGTCGGACTCGGCAGTCTTGTCGTACACTTTCCCGTACATCTCATACTCGATCTCCTTGCGTTGTCTCTTGTGACTGTCAACCATAGCTTCGATCAGCTCTTGGCACGTCTTCAAGACCTCCTGGAAAACAAAAAAAAAAAAAAAAAACGCAATCCCGCGGTTAATCAAAAGCTTTTTAACAATTTTTTCCGCGTACCTATGCACGAAGGATAATGAGCGCGCGGTAAGAAAAAGGCCATTGACGGTTACCCATCCCGTATACATTAAATTTATAATAATAATAATAATAATAGTTACGCGTTATTGTACTGTACCGTCTCTAATGAGACGAATCGATAACAATGATAACTCGCGTACAAAAGCGTCTCGGCGGGTTCGGAATAAAAAAATAAATATAAAAAAATAGTAGTTTTATTTTCCACAGCTCGTGTCCGTACACCTAAACACATACGTAGATGCGCGCGCGCAGCATCACACGGGAAACGATACGGGGACGAGTTTTTAACGATCGTTGAGATCAAAGAGGAATACAAAGAGATATATCCCCGTGCGCTGCAGGACGTTTTCGTCGAAACCGAACGATTCGCGTAAGCGATTCGAATGCCATAAACACGCGCATATAATACAACAACGAAAACGTGTACACACATTACGTACGTGCGTGTATTTGTCGGTCACACGGTCGCTTCGAAAACTCCATTAGCATAATACATCGCCCGTACACATATACATACGCAATATAAACACGGTGTATCAGGTGAAATGTACGCGTATGGTAATCAACCGATACCGGGAGTGAGATGTATAGGAGAAGGAGAAGGATTCGAGGATAACATTAATAACTGCCGGTACGCGTGTGGCCCGCGTACATATCCGAAAATACACGTATCGCACACATACCAAATGCATTGATTACATAAACACACACACGATAATGTATACGCGCAGAGGTGTATTTGCGAAATTCGAATATGATCGTGTTCGGTAATAATTGTGCAATGATTCGCGATGATCGCGGGATGGACGCGTGAACCCTGCGCGTGTAACGCTCGAGGGCAAAGGATTAATTAACTAATTAACTAACGTTTGATCGGAGTCGGATATCACCATCACGTACCGCTAACAATAATTGTACTCGTGCGCGAACAGTTCGTTTTAAAATCGTCATCGGCGTGCGCGTAGAACGCACGCGGGTGTTGAACGTCGGCGCTGTTTGCCGCGTGCATACTTACGCGAACTGTCGAATCCAACGAAACTCCTCTGTACGTATAAACTCTCTTATGTTCTCTCCGACACCATTGTGTGTACATACCGTCAAGTGTGGATAGCATGTGTATTATAATAATATCAAAGTACAACTATCGGTGCGGATCCCGCAGCAATGGTCAGTGATTTAATACAAAGCCCAAGGAAGAGTTGAAGAGAGCAAGGTGAAATAAACGTAAGGCTGGACATGCTACACGAGTACGTCCCTGAATGAGGTTCAGAACGATAATATCGAAGGAATCGGACATAAAGAAATGGACACGCTCCCATGAATGCTGCGAATGCAGCAACCGACGAACAATAATGCAACACCTGTAACAGTGCGCCCCGCAAACACTAATGCACCGAGCAGGGTCTCCTGCAGGGCTTGCAACGGAAACACCATTGAAATGGCTGAGTCCTGAAAGGACGCGAGAAACCAACTGCAAAGATACGGAGGAGAACATAAGAATATACTGCTTGATATTTGAACGAGTGGATATTGAACACAGAACAATTACGCTGGTACGCATACTCGCCCAGGGGATTTTACGAACGCGGTGTACGAGCTTTTGACGTTCATTGAAAGTTGTATTACGGGATTTCGATGGTGGGATGAAACCTTCATGTGTTTTTCTACAAAGAAAAATAAACCACTGTTCCCTCAACCCTAGCCTACCTTGAAATTTACTCGCGAGTCACGAATTAATTATAATTTTACAATCACGACGATCATCGTCGGACGATACACCGTCGCGAAACACGAAGATTACGCGCTCATAAAATAAATATTTACAAACAGAGCAATCATAATAGTAATAATAATAATAATAAAAAAATGGTGTTCTGAACTTACCACTTTTGAGCCAGTTATGATGTGCAACTTGGTGAACAAGTCGTACTTATGAATGGCCGCGTATTCCAGTCCGTTGAGAGCAGCCGCGATCGAGGCTCCAGCGATCACGCTTGGTGGATATGAGCAAAACTTGTAGTCTGTAACACATTGCGCAACGGCGAACGTAAATCATGATGTACACACAAACTTGATAATATTAACAGATTCCAATGCACGTGATAATAATGAAATTAAAATACTATTGATTTTTGTTACAATTGACCGTTGATGAATGGAGTCGGAAGGATAATACGATCATCAACCGTTATAAATAAATATTTATGAGTGAATAATACAATTAGCATTGCGGCTTTCGAACGAAAAACAGGAAACGCCTCAGCGAAGCACACGATTCGCGAGCGCAACAGTCGGAACCACCGAAAGGATAGACTGCGCGCGATTAAGGACATTTTCACAAACACGTTTCAACCACTCGGTTTGACGGTTTTGCATCCATTAACTCTAACACGGACCATCCGATTGACCTGGAGCACGCACGTACACGAAATCCGTACGTTACAACGGTTTCGTGCACGCACTTATTATAATAATGACGATAATAATAAGAAGAAAAATAATAAATACACCGTCCTGCAGGACGAAGATTGCGCGGCACCCGGAGGCATCGTGTCTACTAGACTCACCCTCCCTGCCTCGTCCCGCCCCTGCAGTAACCACTCGTTCATTATCGGCGCTACTCCGGGGGGCACTCGGTATAACGAGACGATGTTTAGACACACATACACGTATAATAATATTATTATTACGGCATGTACATACTATTATTATTATCGTATTGTGTAGAGACGGTTTTTATACGCATGTCGAAATCGACCGGTGCGCGCGGCGTACAGTATAATATACGCATAATGTTGTTTTTTCGGTGACTGGGACAGTCCGTCAACGGAGTATCTATTATTATATTGTACATCGTCGGAGAGACGGAGCAAGAGTGCGAGAGCGACGGAACGGGCTGAGATGCTGCAATAATCGTAATAATATTAATAAATATTATTTTATACAATGCGCACATACAGGTAGTACACGCGCGTAGTATATTATAATAGTATAAAGAGAGCGGCTTGCGGTCGAAAATACGATATTATAATGTAGCGCGTATTGTATGCGAGATTATAATATTATAGCTGATAATCGCAATACAAATCCGTCGAATAAATCATGTTATTATTATTTTTGCGACGTTCGACGGTCAACAACAATCATCCGCGTGATCGGTGGAATCAATTCAAGCGCGTTTTTATTCGTTCATTATATCTGCGTTAATTTAGTTTTATTCGCGTGGCTACATCGTGCTACAAACGCACTTGACCGCGTTTCGCCGTTGACGACAATGAACGCCAAGAGAAAAAACTTCCTATTACGTTTTGTCGAATTCAGAATACACTTTTTATGTATATCGGGGCGATTTCAGTAATGAATATCGAAATGTTACTTCTCGAAAGTTTTAACGATCATTTTTGTCGCTCTTTGATCCCATTTTCCTAACACGGTTCTGAAATTACTGTATTTAATATTATTAATTGTTTTTTTTTTTTTTAATTACGTTACGAACCAGGTGACTAATTTTCATCGATTTTTATCCGATCGACACGGGCCCTTAGAAGTCCCAAACAATCGATACACATGTATACGTTTACGTAAGTTACGGTTTGTGCTTGATCACCGATCAATCCTAGGTGCGGCCGGTTAAATCTATGATGTACGTTTCACATTCGTCCGGGCTCGAAATGATTTCGAATCTTGAACTCATCACCGAACCACAAACGCAACACCAACGAAATCCAGTGTCCGGCAGCGCTAAGAACTATTTAGTTGATTCGTTTTGTCGTTGCAACGGCTTTGCAACAATAATGCCTTGATAAATTTTATCGAAAAATAGAACGTGCAACGTTGGTAACTTTTTTTTTTTCAAATCGCACTCCTCGTACCAACGGAAATTACGTAACGTCCGCGGTAGACAACCAAACGTAAAATCAATGCTGCTCTCGGTGGTACCGGATACAGATTTTACTCGGCATATTTTTGTTGACGAAACGCGTATGCAACGTGATTTTGGAGGTTTACGTGCACTTGGCGCTTGAGCGTAGCAGACGACGTTTCGCGCGTGCACAACACCGTCCGACCAGACCCACCGCCCAGCTAAGTGGGAGCCCGGTAGGCGTACGGAGTTTTTACGCGTCTCGGAATGCGGTGAGCGCGCGCGCGCGCACGCGGACAGGAAGCGCCGCCGTCGAGATGCGAAGGTTGCCGACGGGGGTCCAATTAATAACCAATGGTCTCTCGTACGCGCGCGGCAGCACATACCACGACGGGCGGACCGACCCAGACGGTTACCGGGTATGCCCCGCGAACGCACGTACCGGAGGTGACTTCCCGTTTTTCCGTCTCGACCGGTGTACCACCGCCATGTAGACAGGGGCGGAACTAGGGGGGTGGAGAACGGGCATTCATCCCCGGACGCACAACTTTAGAGGTCGTAATTTTTGTAATTAACTGATTTGATATTTTCAAACTTTGTTAAACACTGTTAACGGGTTAAAACTCAACAAGTATTCTCGAGGAGAGTATTTCATTATTGGTCTATGGTAGGGCGTAATTTTAAAATTTTGCCCGGGCGTAAAAGTTCCCCTAGTTCCACCTCTGTACCTCTGTAGAAATTCAAACATTGAAACGGTTCCGTCCGGATGAACGAATACTTTTTGACGGGCAGGAAGCTGTGCGAAGCGCACGCGCGCACAAGAACGGCTCCGAAGGGTCTCTAGCGAAATTACATGCAGGGGCGTGTGGGGTTAGTGGCGGCGATTTTCAGATTGTTGTTCTCGCTCCGTTTCGCATTCAGACGTAACGCGCGAACGGTCTAGTTTTATGTTTGCGCAACGTACGGTCTAGGCGCCCGAGGACGAAAGCGATCCCGGTCTTCTCTCCTGTTCACTGCCGCGCAACACGTACGCCGGTGGTCTAAAATCGTATGTTGCGCACCGCATTCTTTTCCGCCGTCGTCACGCGCTAGTTAGTAGTCCTTTGTTTCGCCAACTCGATTTTTATTCGAGCGCTCGGGGGGATGTGACTCTCGGTACGTGACTAAATTTTCGTGTTGACGAGAACGAAATGTACACGGGCGGACGCCGTGGGAGGGATATGATACGCATATACGTATGTGATCGTATGTGATAAATCTCGACGAAACGGGGCCGTCTCGTTGCGGTCGCGTACATTCATATCGTACAAAACAATACGTACCGCCGTGCACCATAAATTTCCGTCCGATGACCAGCGTGCGCCCGGACCTATGGTATACCGGGGTACCGGTATGCGGTAATATAGTTTGCGAGTCACGGCGTGCGCGCGCTTAAGGTGGCGGTGTGGTAGCGAAATCTGCGGAGAGCGTCGGGAGCCGCGTTGACGAGAGATTAACGGCCGAACGAATGTCGTGTGACAGCCCTTGGGGAATCTGCAGAGGGGAGGTGATGCACTGTGCAATATCTGCCTCGAGTCAAACTTGGAGGGAATGAGAGAAAGAAAGTGAGAGAGAGAGAAGAGAGAAACGGCAATGTCATAATCGACCATGTAGAATACCGCTGTGCGTTGATAAATTTACGATATCTGTTTGCCTTGTGCAGATAATTCTTGTAGCAAAAACTACGCACGTTTTATTCAGCAAAACGAATTCATCATCTCTCTCTCACACTCTCTCTCTCATTCTCGGGGAGGGAAACGAGCTCACAATAAAACAGGTCACATGCACACACGAGAATATTCGTAGAGATCAAAAACCGATGTACGTTTTGTTTGCGTTTTCTTATCGGACGATCCAAGTGAAACCACAATTTCGTACGTTACCGCGGCACGGTCGTCGTTGTTGCGCGTATTACCATTATACGGTTGAACGTTATATGGTCAACCATGGGCGCGCAACAGTTTTCGGCGGCAATTACAGCCCGTCGTCGAATACATTTACGTATTTTAATGTATGCGCGGCGTTTTTTTTTTTTCTCTCTTTTTTCCTTCGGTTAATATCGCGCGCGCCGCGTGTATTCCAAAAAAAAAAAAAACATGGCCATGGGATGATGATCAAAAACGACCGACGACCAGTACGCACCGCCGCAACAGTTATTACGTACACGGTGTACCTTGTAAGGCTGCGCAGGCCGAGACCGTCGTCCCTCCTAGACGTTCCGTCTATAAATTTCCGTGCCCGTATAACACCGTGGACCGCACACGCGCGGCAGTAAATCTGTACCAGTTTAGCCGCACAATAATATATACCGTCGACGACGACTTTCGAAATCCGTTCTCTTTGTGCGCGCGTGCTGGTGGCGTAGGTAGGTGCACACACCGGCGACCGAGTAAAACGTTTTCGTGAATGAAACGCGTTTGCGCAACACCCGAAAACCGAATTATAATTTTATACAAGTATACTACTGGCACGGCCCGTCGCGCCGCCTCGAATTCCGATGTATTATGTTTCACCGACCGTTCAACCGGTATCCACTTTATTCCGGTCAGCTAACAATTTCTTATTCCCGTCCTGTTCTCGTGCGCGCCAGAGGAGCCGTGGCAGGGTGGGGGATAATATTGTCCAAAACTCCGAACGCGCTCGATCGTCTACCGAACATTTCCCATTGTGCACACGTTTACTTTTGTCCAGTGGCGCACAGAAGTATTTTGAGAGCATATGAAACTAAAAAGTTAAACGCTAACCACCTACCAATTTTTTTTTTTTTTTTTTTTTAAAAAAACATTCGTTTAAATCGTTGTCTGTAACTGTAAATCAACTCTTGAAATAATTATAAATTTAAGGAATTAAGATGTATTATAAATCATTAAAACTAAGATGTCTACACCCAGTGCCGTATTGGTATAATGTTTGTGTTATAATAATAATGTTATTTGCTCACCGTACTCCATAATGTTTGGTATCCAAATTGTCCAATTATATACCCACCAACCCACCTATACACCCACCCCCGACGAGAGCACATGCAATTGCACCCTTTGGTAACCTATCTGGGCGCCACTGCTTTCGTCGACCGTTCAATCGGCCGTACATAGGTAATGATTATAATAATTATATTCC